AATATGATCTACGTAGTTCGGTGGCCTACGCACATCCCCAAGTCCTATTGTCGGTGCGTCCGCACGAAAAATCCGGTAGAGCGGAAAAACGGGAGCTCGCAATACGCGCGCGTACATAGCTCCTCCGTATAATATACAGAGAGTTTATGGTATACAATAATCGTCGGCGCAGGTTAAGGATATTTGTTTATTTTTTTTTTTTTTTTTTTTGCTGCCTACTCTTGCCGTTTAAAAAATGAACAATTTTCGAGTAGGGTCGATGATAACGGTCTTCATCTGTAACGCGCTCGAGTAATCTATATATATATATATGAATATGCGTGTGTACAATGGGTTTGGTTTTTTTTTTCTCAAAGATTTTTTCCGTAATCATCGGCTACCGTCGTCTTCTTCGGATTATCTAATAATCGTTAAATTCCTTGGTATCACGCCGGGATACTTACAACGAGAATTTTGCCACGCATACTCGTCATATTTTCTTTCGTCTGTACGTACCTACATATAATACACTCGCAAGTACCAACATTTATAGATTTACAACAAACGAACGTCACTTCGGCAGCGATTTCGAATTTTGTGCAATCAATACATAATATTAAATAAATACGCTGAACATAAACGCGTTTTCGCTGTCTAAATAAATTGGACTTTCGAACTTTAAACAATTGTTACCGTGTACACACCAAACATAACTTATTATGTATAGGTATCTTTTATTGTCAGATATTTGAAAGTTCTCAGAATGTACCCTAACACTCGTTTCTTTTTTCAGTTGAAGTTTTCAAGGGGAGAAAAAAATATGTTCTCACGAATATATTATCCATTCGTAGTTATGTATCTTATTCGTTTACCTTTTATTCGACAAAAAATGATTATCTGTGCAAGTTTACACTGCAGAAAACTTTGAAACGGATTATATAATCGTATACGCCTTCTTGGCGTAATTATAATAAAAATAATATATTTCACGATCAAGATGTTATTAAATTATATGTTTCAGAATACGATCCAAATTATTTCGTTCATATTATTTGTGTAAAAAAACCATATTAAATATTACACGAATATTTTAATGATTTTAATAAAAATAATAAATTCCGTAATGTGTTGTGTAGGCGAGGGATTACATTGTACATGGTTTGTTTTGTTATCGACATGTTTTTTCAACGTCAGTTGATTATTTACGCGCTCCAATTTCCATAAATTATAAACAATTTAAATTAATAAAAAAAAAAAAAAAAAAATGTTGATTTTCGTAATTTTGAAACCAGTTTCAGTATATGCCTATATATATGTGTGTGTTTGTACATAAATTACCGTATGTACATAAAATACGTGTAGTATTTATACATCGGTGTTCTGAATAAGCATACGTGCGTAGTCGATCTTACGAGTATGAAATTCTCGATATTTTACACGGTCCCGTTGAAAATGTTCAACGGAAAAATCTATAGCGCTGCAGCAGCGCGTCGGGTGTACGCGCGCGCACAGATATAAACGTGCACGTATTACACTACATTATATCCACGATGCGCACGTGAAACTGCAGCGGACGCGGTGAACAAATCAGAAATGGACGCGACATGCGTTGTTTGCGCGCTCTCGACTTGGCGTCGTCGTTCCTCGCACATTCCCATCGCCGCCTTGTATGCGATCTACGTACATGCGTACGACAGCGGTGGTACCATGGTAACGTCGAAAACCCGAAATCGGATGTGCAAACAATGTTTTGGACCGCCAAATCCTTTTAACAACACGTGCTCGTCATGCCAAACGCACTTGACGTCGCCGTCACGCAGTCTTCTGTATGCGTAGCGAAAAAACTTTGTGCGTTCAAAACATGTACATCGGTAACGGTATTGCGTTTATAAACGTTTACATATATGCATAGGTCTATGGACGCCAAAAATACAGTCGTTTACATCGTCGCCGCCGCTGGACTTGATATTTTTGCGAAACACATCTGTGCCGGTTAGGCGCCTCGGAAAAACTCCGTTACAACATTTTAAATCATATTTATACGTACGCGCAATAGGTATTCGTGTAAAATGTGTTGAACACTTCAACGGGGGCGAAGGGATAGGCTTCGCTATATATGTGTTTAATAATAAAATATTGTATATAAGTGTAGTAGTGTACGCAGACGCCGGTGATGGAGGTGACATTCCCACTTGAATCGCAGGCGCCACCAGCACTGGCGGCCCGGTGTCAGGTACACACGCATACACACGCACACACGACCCTGTAAGTGTAATATTGCCGACTGGACACGAGGGTGTGTGTTATTCGTTTTTCGGACACAAGAGAAAAAAGGACACCGCCGTCGCCAGTGATGTGCTCGCCGAAAAAGATATACGTGTCGACTTTCCGGTCAAACGGTCATCCACCAAAGTGCCGCCCCGCAAAGGATGTTTATACATATTATATTATCTATCTCGGTCGACCGCAACCGTTGTGATATACAACTGCAGTGTGTGTATTATACCGGTATAATAGATACGTACCGCGGCCGTGTATTGTGTGCGCCGTCGTATAGGTACATGTTTTCCATTTTATTATTCCGCGTTATTTGTAGGATTCGACAACAGACCGATGGGGGTGTTTTATTATTTTCTCGAGTAGGAAATTGCGTGCAAGGCGATACGGGGGCGAACTAACGTATTTATTCACTCCATCAAGACCTGCAGGAATGCGATACACTATTCTTTGAGATGGTACGTAAGCAGTGTACGTAAGCAGTGGTGACGGTAACGAGTGTACTAAGTCGATGGAAATTTGCGTGTGGCATTACGATTTCAACATCAAGGAACATGGTCGCCAATACAAGTATATACTTAAATATTGTACGGCTTGAGCGAGTAGTTGCATTTGATCGCAACAGAACGACAATAAAAAAAAATAAAATAAAATAAAATAAAACTACAACGACAATGCTGTAACGACTGTTATTAGTATATTGTAATGGTGCGCGTATACGGTCGTTTATGTTGACGATTCGTCGAACAACAGGGACAGCGTACGGTACAATAATGTTCGCAATAAATGCCAAAAGAAAAGAAATTAACTGCGTTTGTCGGTGTTGGCCGGTTCTCTTTTATTTTTCTTTGCACGGGTGTAGAATCGCCGCGGGTCCCATAAATTCGAGATTTTAGCGCTTGTCTAGTCGGCTGAACGCGCGCGGGGGTTGGGGTTGTTTTTAGAACACAGAAACGTACACGCGCGGGTGGTGTGCAGTATCCGTCCGTCCGTCCGTGTATGTGTGTATGTGTGTGTGTGTGTGTGTGTGTGAATAGGATCGCCTTAAAAAGGTGTCGGTAAGCGACGGACGACGACGATATGGCGGCGTCTCCGGCGGCGGTGGCGGCGACGACCGTAGGCACTCAAACCCCGTCTGGCTACCCTCGTGCGCCGCCACCGTTTAATGACTATTGGCGACAGCACCCTAATTAATAGAAAAAGTCTGGTTCTCAGCGGGAACCTGTTAATTGAACATCTATAAAAATCTGGTATCTTTTTCGAATCTCTGCGCACGATACCGCGAGCGTGCGCGTGCGAGCATTTCGTTCACTTCCAAACGGTACGGTGTGCGATATAAACTCAAAAAGTCACAGTCGCACCGCTCTTACATAATGACATCCTATTTTAACACACACACGCAGACGGCCTTAAAAGGGTCGAGTTTTTCGAACGAGCAAATATTTGGTGTCAACCCCCGACGACGACGACGACGACGGGAGGAAAAAAATAAATAAATAAAACAACGACCGGAATGCTTTCCCGCACTCACAAAACCCTTGTTGAAACACTTAACAACAACACTATGTATCGTCGCCGACGTATGTATACAAGCCGTCACCACCGACGTCGCCGCCGCCCCGAAACGGTAAACGCGTTGCAACTACCGGGGCGACGAGAGACACCGCCGACGACGCGACGGCGCAGCAGCAGCAGCAGCAGCTGAATCGCCGCCGCCGCCGCCGCCGCACCCCAGTTTAAGTTTGTGCCAACTACAAAGTCGGCTGTACGCATGTTTGTTCACGTCGAAGGGTGTCACGCAAGCCCGCCTTTTTTTTATCCTTACATGTATATACATTTTTTAATATCGTAGAATAAATAAACATAAATCGTCGCGTCATTTTTTTCGTCCACGATTCCCACAGTCATCGTCGGAAATCGATATTTCTTTTACCGTCCGCATACACTACGAGTACGTCGAACGCACTTTAACATTATTATGATCCTTACATACATGTTATGACGAATATTATATTATATACACACAGTAGTGAACGACAGAATAAGACCACTTGAGATTCACTGAAAACTATATAATTTCTCTTTCTTTCTCTCTCTCAAATGTACATTACTACATACGTACATATCATGTATCTGCAATATTATGTATATAGTCGCAGGGATCGACGTTTGATAATATAACTACTGTTACAGTGCACTAAAGTAACATTTATTCGAAATGACAAAATGATAAACCGTACATTATGTGATACACGTCAATTTATTTAAACACGTCACACGTTTATATTCCATTTAGAATATAATCACATTATTATGCACCTAAATAAACCGAAAAAAGTTGTGTTACCGATGACTGTAATAACTATAAGTTGCGGTTAAATCCTAATCGTACACACGATTATTCCTTTCCGAACAATTTGTTATTTCAAAAATAAATCGGTGCAATTATAATTTTTTAACAAAATTCCCTGCTGTCATGAACTTATAGAGTACGTGGAACAAAATCGATTGCTGTGCTATAATTTTTTCTTTCAAATCCGAGCTAAACAAATATTTTCCTCATGAATACAGTTCTAATTCATAATATTATGTACACATAATATAACTTAACATCATGTGGTACCGAATCGTTGTGCTCATTACGACGAAGGGGAGAATGTAATTTAACTATATGCTATGTATAAGTGTATATATTACAATGTATTTTTATATAAAATATATATTATATATGGTTTTGTACTTACAAATCCGTGTTTGTCAGATATGTTGTTGGTGAGCTTTAGTTTGTGAAACGACACGACTTTCTGCATCCACTGTTCGCCAGTCGACGGGGAGTCTGGATGTATATACATTCGTTTGGGCATTTCCGGATCCGCTTTTCCGGCTACCATCCATCGGCTAAACAACCATTAAAATACACACAAATGTTATTTCACGGAACCGTTGTATGCACGTGGCGATGTCGGGCATTTCATCAATCATTGGTAATAATTATTTAGGTAATAAAACAATAGAAAAACTTAATAATGCGAAAAAAAGCTATAGATAGAAAAACTAATAAAGCAAAATAATAATGTTACAAAACGTATCGTTTACTTGTAATATAAAATCTAAAAAAAATTATGCATTCGCAAAAATAATATATTTGGCTAAGAAACTTTAAAAAGAAAAAAAATTATAAAGCCATATTATTTATAGACGTGCACGCGTATAAAAGTGTAATATATATATATATATATATATATATATATTTGTTGAGCTGGATCAACCCACACACGGCTTATCGACCAAATGTACTTGATACAATGAAATAATAAATTAAGTTGCCAAGTAAAATAGGAAGCTGGAATCAACTTCACAAAAAGGCCATAATGTAAATTACGAATAATACGAATAATTACGTACGATAAACGTATCTAACGTGATATAAGAAAAAAATTTCGTCTCATTACGTTCACAAATCTATGTTTCAATAAAAACGAAAAGAAATATTATATATGCATATGTAAATACGTATAGTACATATATAATTTAAAATAATTTACTACTATGTAGTGTTTTTATTTTACCATAAATGCTGTGCACACGTACATATATAAATATATGTACACATATGTACATCGCATTACACAATGTAACTAAAAAATTAGTGGTTTGATTGAAATTTGTTTACTTTTTGTACCTGTTGTGGAACTTATAGCGACAGTCATCGGCAGCCACGATGTCCATTAGCAGTATGTATTTGGCCTTTTTGTCAAGCCCCATTACTCGGACTTTGTAAGCGGGGAACATCCGCCTAATTAAACAAAACAAAAATAGAAACTAAAATACGAGAAAAACAACATAGGTACGGGCTTACACGTAAAACAAGTAAATTAATAATAATAATAATAATAAATCAAGAACAGGGTATATTCGTAGTATAGGGCAGTGGGAGGGGGCAGGGGGTTGGTCTACAGCTCAGCTCATATATAATATACAACAAACAACGCATATATGCGTAGGTAACACACAGATTTGGCTAGAGTAATGTTGTATACGCGCGTTCATATGTTATATAGGTACCTGTTGTGGAACTTATACCGGTAGTCGTCCGACGCCACAATGTCCAGCAGTAAGATGTACTTGGTTTTTGTGTCCAGACCGTTCACCCGCAACCTCATCTGCGGGAACATTTGCCTGCGGACAATATTTTCCAATATTTTCTCGTTCTACTACACGGGGGATGCAATGCACAAAAATTATCCCGTACACTCGACGTGTACCAATATATTATATACGCGGTATTGCGCTTATAGCCGACGTTGCTAGGGGTGTTGTAAATGTACATAGGTACACGATGAGTGTATTGTTCAATTTGGACGGACAATAATATACACGTATACGTGTAGCTACTTGCCCCGCGAAAACCAATACGTAGCTTATATATACAGCTTACATTATAGGTGCACACAATGCACGCGCTAGGAGACTAATACGTCTGGCTCAACTATATACGCACAGGCACGCACACACGCATATATGTATATGTACATAATATTGTATATAGTTTCCATCCCTCTAACAACATCATAATCGGAAATCCTTCTCCTGCCGCCTGATCCTGTGCCACTGCTCCTCCTCGCCCGTCATAGTCGCCCGAAAAATAATATATATAAAAATACCATCTGCTGCCGTCGTACGTATATATCACACTGCCCCCCGGACCATATTAAACGACGGCAGCCATCTTTAATCGTCACAATAGGATGAGTGCATGATATCTCGCACTTTATTATTACGGTAAGTACGCTTCATCGCTCGCCCTTTTTCACACCACCCCCCGCACACACGTTATATAGGATCCATTATTCGCGAGCGCCCGTTCCATTATACGTATACCACGCGGTACATTTTATAAATTTCAACCCTTATAATAAATAATATATATATATGTATATGTGTGTGTGCGAGCGTGTGTGTTAATATTAGTCGAGGAAACCGGCTGCGGTAGTGCGCTATAGGTGGGGGAGAGGGTTACGGGGGCGCGTGAAGTAGGGCGTGTTTTGTGGACGAAATCCAAAGTCCGGAAGTGAACTTAACTGAATTCGATCGGTCACAGGGGTGCGTATTTCTCCATGGAAATATATTGTATTCGGACAGAAATAATATATTCATCCTATATATATGTGCATAATATATAATCGTTGTGAAGGAAATATGATAGGTTTTAAATTTATTTCTATTTTTTTCCAAACCAATAGTATATGTTATCACGTATTGTTGAAAAAAAAAATCCGATCGGACAATAAAAAATGTATATGTGGTTTTCATGTGGGTGAAAAAAAAAGAATAATATAATTTGTTCCCATTATTTTGCTGTCGATCCATTGTGTATGAACACGGATTTTAAAGCCATACGATATCGTTCTAAAACGCTTAACCTACACTCTACGTCAAAATCAGAAAACAAAATACATTTGTAATCTGAGTAATTTTTTTTTTTTTTTTTGTTAAAACTAGTGTGTTTTTAAAAAATCCCCGAGTATTCATTCATTTTATACGTAAAAAGAAACACTTTAAAGTATTAATACTTTATACGCAATGATGTATTTGAATTAAGTCATTAAATCGTAAAAGGAAAAATTCGTTGTGTAACCTGAACAAATATAGCCCTTCTAACATTAATGATAGTTGTACCAATTATAGAGTATATTATTATTATACCCCGTGTGGGTATATTATTTTATACGAAATTAGTATTATTATTTTTTTCAATTGCTATGCAGATTTGATCCTACCTTATTGACCGAGAAACTGGCCAGTGTATTAAAATCAAAATAGAATTTCAAAAGTGCATCGAACAAAGCATCATTATTAAATAAATACGCGCGTACTACATGAATGATAAACTATATTTATTTATAATCGAACTCTACTACGTTGTGAAGTGATGGACTTATATGGTGGTAATTTTTTTTTTTTCATATTCAAAATAACCCTCGGTAACATCGGCCATTGCGACATTGTCTTGTCAAAACGTGTATTTTGACGATACAACGCATTTAATTATTGATTCCACGTATACTCGGCAGTCGTTGAGTGATATGGAAATATGTTCAGGGGCAAAGTCGTAAGTTATAAGTTTATCGAACGTTAATTGACTATTCATTTCATTCGACGTTCAGAAAATACTAAGTAAAAAAATAAATAAATAAATAAACTAAAAAAAGAAAAAGCTGACTAAAAAAATGATCGGGTAATTATGTTTTATAAGCCGGTTTACCAGACGTAAAAAGACGGTCCGTGGAAACGAGGAAAACTGCGACTAGGCTACGACTAGACGATTAAAAAACGCGCGTGCTTCGATGCCGCGAAATCGCCGAAAACGGTTGTTTTACTTTGATTTACTTCTTTCGGTCCGTTGACGAGCAAACATCGTAGTCGGACCCTGCGCGCCACCGCTATCCGTACGTTTTTATTCGCAGCGCGCGATGTTCACACGGCGCCTAAAACCCTGCGGACCGAACATAAACACGGTATAAAAGGCCGACGAAAGTGTTATTTTGTGTCGGCGGCACCGCGGGCGGCTCGGCGCGACGGCGGCAGTTGAGGTGATGCCGACACGACACGGTCGATTGGACAAAGAAGAAGGTGTTTCTCTTCCTATTGTACGTAATGGGTTGCTACCATGTACGCGCACAACAAACACTCGTAAAAACTGCGGCGTATAATGTAAAATCCGAGTACAATATAAGGCGCGCGCGTTGTACTTTCGTCGTCGTTGTTTGTTGCCGGCGACCTAATGTACCGTGTAAACACTGCGACGACGACGCGCACCCGAAAAAAATAAAAATAAAAACACTTTGTGAACGTACGTACTACCTCTGTTACAGTAACGTATACGGATTTTAATATCGCTGCGCGCGGCGATGTCGTTTCACACCCGCGGAAGGACTCGGCGAGGACGGTTTTCTTTATCGACCTCACGGGGAGAGGTTATTTTACACGACGACGACGTTCACCTCTATTGTACCGCGGTTAGGTTGGTTTCGAGCTGACGATCTCTGGTCCGCATCAGCCGCCACCGGTTCGGCAGACGGATTAAAATTTTTTTTTTTCCAACGATAAAGGGTCGCACCACCGACAAATTAAATGTAAATCACGCGGACCATGCACGCGTCTCGTGCGCCGGGATTAGACACGAAAAAAGAAAATTACAATCGTCGGGTTGTGATAATCGAAATACGACAACGACGACGCTTATAAAACGTATGTATTCGTGTACGAGTGTATATAATATAAAAACGATTTCGGTAAAACGACGAGTCGTGCGTGCGTGCGTGTGTGTGCGTGTGTGTGCGCAAGTGTATGTATATAATACGAGTACGCGCGTACGGATGGTTAGCGATATGATTGATAGTGGTGTGCCCGGGCAGCGGGTGGTGGCGCCAGCAGTAAAAACAAACATACCCCGCGGGCCGAGGAGAGAGAGAAGAAAAAAAAAACCCGTGTCCGCCCATCTCCGTCGTCGTAAAATATAATATAGGTACATGTAAAAAAGCGGAGACGGACGCGGGCGCGCGCGCCCGAGCAAGACGGAAGATTCGAAAAAATATTCCAGTTAATTTTTACCTTCTCTCGTCACTTTTTGATTTATAAACGCTTTGTTGGTCCGTACAGCGGTAGTGCGTTGGTTATTTTTATTTATTTATTTTTTTTTAATTTTTTTTTATGGTCGTCACCGACCGACCGGTCGACCCGGTCCACGACGACGCGCCGAATTTTTAATAAACCGTTTGTGTAACGTGCGGTATAAAAAAAAAATGAAACTGAACCGAAGTACATATGCCAGGCGAGTAGACGACATATATTTCCTCTGCACTTTGCATAAACGCGTACAAAGGTATGAACAAGACGGCGACAAGCGTTTCGCGTGTAGTACTATGCGTTCGTTGTTGCAGTTGCAGTACTAGTGAACGCGTCACCACGTCGCACGGTAACAGCAGCGCGCGCAGAATTTTTTTTCGGCGACAGGGATGAAAGGGGATGATCATGATTCGAAAAAGAGCTTTTTGCGAAACTCTATACGTAGAAATGTTTTATGGTAACACTTTTAACGGTATATTTGTTAGTAGATTGTAGATAATACGTGATATATTAAATTTTATTTACTTTTTGATTTCATTTGTTGTTTGAATAATTCTAATGAAGGAAGGGACTCCTTTCCCTCTCAGCGGTTACAGCACTCATAATACCGGGTTAGAGATTCACCAGAATCCTATACTTAATCGACTGTATACGTGCACGGGGGGATAAGTCGAATATTTTCTCGTGCGTAACTGGATTTGAGAGCCATATATGTATAAGCAAATTACATACACATATTTTATATTAACGATCGAAGCACGTGAATGTTTACGACGTCTATCCTGCGTAAACATAAAAAAAAAAAATAATAATAATAATTTAATTACTGCAGATACAGTCACATCTCGAGAAGCGATTACTGAGATATTTCAAATTTAATTAGTTCTATCGACATTCTAAATCAGTGGTTCTCAAAATGTGGTACGCAAATCCCTTAGGGGTAATCGAGATTTTTTAAGGGTACGAGTCAGGCCAAAAAACCTTTGAATTTAAATAATTTATGTGGATAACGGTTATTCAACTTTAATTTATATTATAGGTAAATGTAGAAAAAAATTAAATGTCAAAGACAACTTAAGATTGTATTTAACTAAATTAGAACCCTATATTGATCAACTGTGTCAACAAAACTAAGCTCACCCTTCTCATTAATTGTATTATAAGTAAGCTCTTTCTGTTTTTAACATTTTTCGCGTGTTAGTTTTTAACGAAATAAAAATGTGTGTAAGTATTTAAATTTTTTTATTTAACTAAAAACCAACTAAAAAGAGGTACCCAAAAAAGTTTATGGATAAAAAGGGATACAGTGTTTATAAAAATCTGAGAATCCTTGTTCTAAACCAACTGTATTATGAATTATAGTTTAATGTACGATCATTCCGTTTATATACGAATAGAGAAAACGGTCAACAACGATTAATAGGAATATAATATATTTTATTATAACTACATGATATTTGGTGTATGTCTTATGTGCACACCCGACATTTCCACAACATTGAGTATAATCTCGGTCGGTGGCGCCTACACATTAGATTACCGTTAAACAC